GGGGAGAGGGCGAAAAAAAAAAAAAAAAAAAAAAAACAATGACCATCTTCCTTCCGGCAGGCACTCGGGTGCGGGTGTGTCGGTCGACGGCGGGCGAAAGAAAAACAACTGCGCATCCCGCGGAGCAGCGGTTTGGGGTGCCGGCCAGTGGCTCCCGCGCGCTGGAGGTTGCAGCTGGCAATGAAGGGGCTACGGCATTAGCGAGGAGGCCGGCCCGGGAGGTTCGGGCTGGACGCTGCGCGCCGGGCCACCGGGCCGGGACCTGCTCTGCTGCTTGCGCGCGCGCGCGCGCGCCTAGAGCTGAGTTAGATTGGCTCAAGGGCACTTAGGCCGGGGGCGGCCATCGTTCGCCGTAGCCGGAAGCTCCGTGTGCCGGGCGCAACTCCCGGGCCCCAGCGCCTGGGGTCTGACCCCCTCGTCCCGGCCCCCCCCCCCCCCGGTCCATCTTCCGGCGCGGCGGTGGCGGCCACGGCCGCAGACACACGGGGGGGCCGTGTGCCAGGCGGCGGGCGGGGCGGAGATCCCGGAGAAGGGGGCGCCCGTGCCCGCTGGCCGCCGGGCGGCCGGGGAAGTCCCCACCGGCGAAGCAGCCAGCCTCTGCTGGAAGGTGCGCTTCGGCGGCGCGGGGGCCGCCGCCCCCCGGGAGGAGCACCTCGCACAAACGGCCGGACGAACTCCGCCCTGCCCGGGGGCCCCAGTGGGGAAGCGCCTGCCGGCCCCTGCGTCTCCGAAGCCCGGCGCGCGGGTCCGCCCGAGGAGGGGAGACAGGAAGGGCCGGCCGCCCCCCCCCCGGTCGGGCGGGCGCCAAGAGACCGCCAGACGCCCGGGCGAGACACACCGCGCACAAAAAGGATCCCCCACACCGGTCGGCCCGGTCGCCCGGAGTACCGCCGCCCCCCCCCCCAGAGGCCGTCGCGGAGGCGCGCTTGTTCCCTGTACACGGGCAAGCCGGCCGGTGGCGGCGGCGGCGGCGGCGGCGGCGGCGCGGTCAGCGCCAAGATTATTCGGCTATCGGCCAATAGGCTGGGCGCCGGCCGGGGAGCCGGGAGGAATTCCGCCGTTCGCGCGGCGTGCATTCCGCGTTGCGTGCGCGCGCGCGCGCGCGCGCATGTTGGTTCGCTCTGCCGGAGTCTAACCGGCACCTTGTCCGACGCTCGGCTCGGGCAAGCAGAACAGCAAGCCGTTGGCCCACACCGGCGCCGATGGTGGGGATGGCAAAAAAAAGCCCCCTTTCTAATGAAGGCCATACACCGGGGACCCCCGAGGGGAGGGGCGACCGCTTGCGCCACATACTCGCGCCGGGTTCGCCCCGGGCTGTTGGGCATGGGTGGAGAGAGACCGGGCGGGCGCTCGGCCGAAGCCAGGACACATCGTCCCGGCAGCGCGATCGCGTATGCGCGGCCTCCCCCCCCTGCCCCGGGCCCGGTTTTCCGCCCGCAGACCGGGCCCCTCTCGCAGGTATGCGCGCCGGCGGCGCCCGGCCGTCGTCGCGCCTCCGGCCCCCGGGGGGCGGAGGAGAAGAAGAAAGGGGCCGCGGGACGGCAAGGGGCATGCCCCCCCGGAGGAAGTATGTACCGAAGGGGCATGCTGCGCAAGCGTCGTGCCCTCGGTAGACCCGGAAAAGCACCACAGCATGCCGGGCGTCTTCCGGCGCCCCCGCGGCGTCTTCTCGAGGGGAGACCTTCTCGGCGGCACGGGGGGGGGGAGCCGAGGAGGGGTCCCCTCTTCCGGCCCGGATTGAGGGACGCATGCGCGGTGCCATGGGGGGCGGCGGCGGCGGCGGCGGCCCCGCGCCGGCGGGTGGCCCCTCTGACCTGGGCCCCCGGCGCCCGGTGGAAATGCCGGCCAGGCGCCGATGACAGATTCCGCGAAAAAGGCCCCAGCCAAGCCTTGATCGGGGACACTTGGCGCTTCTCACTCGCCTTGGCCATGACCAAAGCATGTGCCGGCGTGTGCCGGGGGGTCATATGCCGAGGCGCGCCGGCCGCGTCCACGCCGGAGGGCACGATCGACGCACCGATCCGCCGCTGCCATCGACTTCTCGGTGCCCCCGCCCCCGCCCCGCCCCCGGGGCGCCTTTTGGGGGGAGAGAGCCCGGGCCAGGAGAGACACCGCTTGATGCCCCAAATGGCAATATGACTAAGCGCCCGCTCTCTTCGGTCCGGGCGGGCGCCGGCTCCTGGAACGCGCTGACAAACAAAGCCCCGGCCAGATGGGGACTCTTTCTGGTCCCTGTCCAGCCGGCATCGGGGGGGGGTGCGGGGGAAGGCGGAGACCACCGCGCGTCCGGGGACAGGTCAGCGCTGTCCAAGCCGGGGGCGCGGGGATGGCCCGATCCGGCTGCGGCCTTCGCCCCGCCTGACCGCGCGCTCCTCGCCCCATCTCCGTCTCTCTCATGGTCTCTCCCCCGTGTCCACGTCTCCCTGGGGCATGGTGGCTCTTGGGCGCGGCTGGGCACATCGCGCGTGGAGAACGCCCCCACCCCAGGGGGGGGGGGGCATCCACCGGACGCCTGAAGAGCGCAGGAGGATGTCTGACGATGCGCCCGTCTTCCGGTGTCCAAAAGCGTCCTGGCAGAAAAATGGACCCTCCCCACCCGCCCTGCCCCCTGTTCACATCTGGACATAGCCGGCTCGTCGCGGCCCCGGACCCGGGGGGCGGGGGAGGCGGGGCGGAGGGCTGGCTCCGGGCCAGCTGGGGGCTCCTGGCATCCTTACGTCCCGATCGAGCCATGCCCGTCCAGGGGGGGGGGGGGGGAACGAGGCTAGGCTCCTCGGGCATCGTGAGCCGAGGCGGCCAGCTGGAGGTACACGCAACGGCCAGCCGCAACCGTCGCATGTTGCTTCGGCGGAGGGGGGCCGGGGGTAAAGGAGCCGGCTCGCTGGCCCAAGGCGCTTTCTCCCGGGTGCGTGTGTGTGTGTGTGTGTGCGCGCGCGCCGGACAGCTTGAAAGTGGCTCGGGTGGGCGTGCCCTTCGCGGCCTTCGGCCTCGCGCATGCATGGGGGACCAGGCTGCCTGCGCCCCGCGTCGGGCACGCCCAGGTGCGGGGCCGCCGCCGCCGCCGCCGCCAGGGGCCCACCCGGCGTGGAGCCAGCGCCCGGGGAGCATCTCCCCGTAGCAGCTGGCCCCGCCGGGTAGGATCACCTCGGTCGTTTTTTTTTCAGCCACCCATGCTACAAACCGTGGCCGCCCGTCCGCCCGCCCGCTGGATCGCCCGCCGGATCGCCCGCCGGATCGCCCGCAGGATCGCCCGCTGGATCTCCCGCTGGATCGCCCGCCGGCGCCCTTACCCAGGCAGTCCAGGAGAGGAGGGGCCCATGGGCCGAGTTGCGGCGGGGCGGGCGGGGGGGGGGGGGGCCGACAGAGCCTCGCGCGCCCCAAGGCCGGCCGAACACACTTGCATGTGCCCCCCGGGTGCCTGTCCTTGTGCCGCAGGCCGGCCCCCCCCCCCGCCCCCCCTCTCCCCGCCCCCGAGTGCGGTCCCGCCGCGCCTTTGCCCCGCTCCCGGCCGACCGGAGGCCTTCCTGCGGCCGTCGTGTTCGACGGTGGCGGCTGGCGCAAAGTCGGTCGCCAGCGTCCGGTCGAGCTCAGCTCGCCCGGGCCTTCGCGACGCCGTGCGCAGGCCCCCGGGCGCCCGATCGCCACGGGGCCGGGCGTTCGCCGAGGTGCGGCGCCGGGGGCTCTTGATGAGTCAGACCCCCCCCCCCCGTGCGTGCGCCGGGCGCGGGAGGCGCGCAGGAGCCGGCCCCAGCGGGCCGGGCCTGGCCGCCCGCCTCCGCCCGACGCATGCCGGCGCGGGGTTGATCGGGTCGATTGTCCTGGCGGCGCCTGTGCCCGCGCCCGCGCCCGGCCGTGGGCAGTCCGCTTGGATAATTTCACAAGTTCGCTTGACAACCGTCCCCAGACCGGAAAGCGAGGTTGAGGCCGCGTTTGGTGGCGCCCCGCGCCGCGGATCGCGGCCGCCCCGCCCCCGAGCGAGTGCGGCCGCCGGCGAAGCGAGGCCCCCGCCCCCCCCCCCCCCCCCTCGGCCGACACACTCCCCCGGGGATCGTGCGCCCTGCGAAATGGCCCATTCATCGAGCGCGCGCCGTTCCGGGGTCCGCCCCCCTCGGGAGGGCATTTCTCCCCGCCGCGCTGGCTGACCGGCCACCGTCATAGAGACGAGGGGACGCCGGCCCGCGCCACCGAAACGCCCACATCATCTCTGGCTCCGGGGGCAGCCCCCCCCGCCCGCCCGCCCGGCCCGACCGTCGTTGCTGATCTCCCGGCCCTTGCGCCCCTCACGCTCTGATCGCGAGCCCCCACCGTGCCGGGCCCGGTCGGACACGCCCCAAGCCGGCCCTTCTTGGCACCGCGGTTGCTCTTTCTTGGCGGCGCCCCGGGCCGCGCCGAGGTGTGCCGGGCCCTGTCTGGCCCTTTCCCCTCGGATTGCACCCTTCGCCGGCAGCCGCCCCCCCCCCCCCCCCGCCCGTCCATGGAGGAGCCGGGCGAGGGCCCCGCGCAGCCCCCAATCGATGCGGCCGCGCTATTGCGTCCGGGCGCCCTCGCCGCCGCCGCCGCCGCCGCCGCCGCCGCCGCCCCTGCTGACTGTTCTGACACACACCCTGCGTAAGCGCTGAGCAAGGGCGAACTCCGGCTCCCCCGGCTCCCAGCCGCGCCTCTTGTTGACTCATCCATTCATTTGCGCCCCCCTCCCCGCGAGACACCCGGGAAACGAAAAGGAAAAGGCACCCGCCATCGGCCACCCCCGCTCACAGGCGGCCGAGGGGCATTTCACTGAAACAGCGCAATCAGGCCAAAACTGCCCCAGCGCCCGGGTGGGAGGCCCTCGCCGGACACTTCTCACACCCGGGACATCGGTCGGCCGGCCGGCCGACCTGCCTCATTTTTTTCTGCCCCGCTCCCCCCCCGCCCCCCCCCGCCCCGGCGGCGGCCCAACGCCCAGTGCCCGGGCCCGGGGCTCGCAATTTCCCGCAGCTTTCGCGCAGGCGGACGAGCCCAGGGCACAGAGGCCAGCTTGCGGCCCCCTCCTCCGCGCCACAAACCAGACTCCTCGGTCGAGCAGCCCCCCCCCCCTCCCCCCGCCAGTGCACCGACCCCCGGGCCCCAGCCGGTCGGAAACCAGTTTATAGGGGGCCCCGTGCTGGCCGACCGGGCGCGGTTGCGCGCACCCCATAATCCGACAACAGCATTGCGCGCGTTCGGAGAATGCCATTCACCGACACACAGTCACACCCACACATCACATGCAAACTCTATTGTCAGCCCCGATCGGGCCGCCGCGGATGCGCCGCCGCGTTGCCCGTGCGTGCGTGTGTGTGTGTGTTTGTACGTGCGCGGGTAGATCGAACGCACACACACGCGCGCGCGCGCGCGCACGCGCACCCGTTCAGATGCACAGGGCATCCCCCAGCAGGGCGAGTGCCTCGGGGCTGCGCTTCAGATGCCAGAGATCGCGTTTCTGGTCGGGCACGGCGATCTGCGAGAGGAGCTCGTTGGCCGTGGTGCGGCCAACCAGGGTCTCCTGCGAGGTGTGTGGCGCAGGGGAAGGCCGGCGCAAGGCAGAGCAGGTGCAGGTGAGAACCACGCACACGTATGTGGCACACAGACCGAGGGGGCATGGGTCGGCTGGCACATGCCGGAGAGCATCATATATCCCGGCACCGGCGGAGGGGAGACCACAAGCACCTTCGCCTGGGCATGGAAAAAAGAAAAAAGAAAAAAAAAGGGCATACGCATGCGTACCTGGATGAATCGGCCGTAGGGGATGGAGTTGGTGTTCTGGAACAGCTTCAGCAGCTGGTTTCGCCACTGGATGGTGCGCCCGCGGTGGGTGATTTCACTGGAGGCACACACGCCCGGCGCCGGGGCAGCGAGAGGAAAGACCCGTTAGTGCCGAGGCGACCAGAGAGGGAGGCGCGCGAGCAAGGGACGCACCTCTTGACGATCCACAGGTCACCAAACTGGATGGCGATGTCCCCGAGAGCAGCGCGCAGGACAGCCTCGATGTCGTTTCCATCCGGGAACATGGCCTTCAGCTCGAGGAAATGCACAATTTGAGCTGCATCGCGCCACACCGCCCCCCGGCCACCCACCACATGAAGGTCAGCAAGCCATGCGGACCCGGGGGAGGGGGGAAAAAAATGCACGGCAACGTGCCGCACGGCAGGCGAGGCAAAATGGCGCACCGTTCTTCAAGATCCCCAGGACACGTTTCCTGATCGGCGTCAGGGCGGGCAGCTTGACCACACTCGACAGGTAGGACTCCGTTTGCTCTTCCTTCAGCACAGGGGCCGACTGCTCGGCATACATCAGCTGGAAGAGGCGGTTGGTTTGGGGGCTCTGCATATGCGCGTGTGTCAGTGCGTGTGCCAGTCTCAACCGGCACGGCCCCCAGCAGGACAGCCCCCTTGGCCTCGCATCCGAGGGATAAAGCACCACCAAGAGAGGGGATGAAGAAAGAGGGGGCGCCGGGGGGAGGAAGACACGCACAGAGGAGTTGTAGAACTTCAAGTCAACCCAGTCCTCATCATCGACCTGCTTCTGGAGGTATGCGTGCGACTTCTTCCGGGCGGCGGTCGCGCGCTCACTTTCCCGGCGCTTGATGGTCACTTGCACTTCCTTCGGCTTGTCCTCCGAGTCAGAGAGATCCTCGTCGGAGTCGGCCGCCGCGGCGGCGGCTTCCATCTTCGCCTGCTTGTCCGCCTCGTCCAGGTACTGCAGGCTCGGGCGCATCTGGAAGTTGCAGTCAACCGGCACAAGGTGCAGGTCGCCGTCTGCGCGCGCGATCCATGATGGCCGATCGCGCCCCTCCCCCGGCGGGCGGAGGGAGAACATCGCACGTCAGCTTCCCCATGAGCAGCTTCGGGGCCATCATGAGGCCGTCTTGCCCCCCCCCCCCCCCCTCGCCAAAAGCAGCTGCACCGCCAGGCATGCAGATGTCACGCACTGTCCTTCAAAACGCCGATGGTATAATGCGACTTGCCGGGGATCGCCTGCGACGAGTACACCTGGCTCGACAGCAGCCCAGTCCCACCGGCCCCCGGAGCCACCATCCCAGGAGTCACGCTCAGCATGGGCGGACTCCCGGCATTCGGCGTCGGGCGGATGGATGTCGCGTGCTTGCCAAACTGCTCGCCCTTCAAAGTGTCGTAAAAAGGAGACCCAGTGTCCACCGGGACCTCGAGCTCCAAGAATTGCGACTGTCCTCGGCCCCCCCCACCGCCGGCCGGGCGCGAGAGGTCAGCCACCGCCAGATGCACAGCCAAAACCCGGTCAGGGCGGACCCCGGGCCTCTGCCCCACTTTTCCCGTGCCT